TGTTCTCCCATGTTTTCTGAAAGTTCTCGGAGTCCAATGATGTTCTCACATGTTTTCTGAAAGTTCTGGGAGTCCAGCGATGTTCTCCCATGTTTTCAGCTGTGGTACAGGCAGGCCTGGGAGGTCTGTTTGTTCTACTCTATTCCATCACAGTAGAACCAGTTAGGGAATGTTGGTTCACAGGGCAGATGGAAGTTGTGTTGACGTTCTGCTGTAGTCTGTTAAGTGTGCAGAGTGTGATGGAAAAGTGTGAAACATGGTGAGACTGTTACGATGAGGCAGAGACAGGAAACGAGCATGTGCTGCTTGGGAAACGGCCTGCTAGGCTCCCTGGACACTGAGCCGTCTCAGGCCTTGAGTTTGTAAAAAATCACAGTCTGTGGGCGCAGGGAAGGGGAGCGCCGTGAACGAGGCCTTTGCTGGTGCAGATGGGCTTTCTCGGGCTACTTAGTAGACTTCACATAGGAGCTTGAAAACGCTGACCACGCACGTGAACATGGTTTTGTTCCGGCTCAGACGTTAGACTTGAACGTCCAGATCTTTCACGGTGTGAACAGAGACCAGAGTAATGGTGTGTGTGGCTGACATTTAACCCCTTGAGGCCCTGGCCCGCCCCTGCTTTGTCTTCTGGTTTGCTTGCTTTGGGGGTGAGTGGTGACCCCAGGGGGTAATGACACCACATCTGTCTTGATTTTAAGCATCCAGAGTTAACCAGACCACCTTGCAGTTTTCGGGTTAGAAATGACCTTCTCTCTCCTGACTTAGCATAATTGTAGGATCTGAAAAAATGACGAGGGTAACAGTCGGCTGTGGTCACACCGTGGTGTGTTTACAGCCATAGCGGCTTTGAACGTCTCTTCTCAAGTGTAAGTAACTGATTTTTCCTCACGACACCCCCTTGGTGCAGACGCCCACACTCCGGGAGAAGTCCATCCTGCTGGTGAAGATGATGACCTACATTGAAAAGCGATTCCCAGAGGACCTGGAGCTCAATGCCCAGTTTCTGGATCTGGTGAACTATGTGTACAGGTGAGCGTGCGGAGGTCAGATGGCACATATGGTGGCCAGCACAGCACGAGCGTTCTTAAAGACAAACACATCGTATTTTATTGTGATTTGAGTGAAAGTTTTGAGCAACTCAGTTTTCCATTTGACAACTTGTAGCATTTTGTGTCATGACTTGACTGCCGTTTCCACAGCCCTCCCCGTGTTTGCCACAGCGTGGCCGTTTCCTCTACAGCTAGAGCTGTATCTTGGTTGTCAGTCCCTACTGGGGCCACACCCCATCATGGGGTCCTTAGGGACCCTTTTTCTCAGTTGCTGTGAATGCCCCGTGAGTGGATCCTGTAGAGATGCCCAGCAAGTCCCCCACTCTCCTCATGGTCCTGCATAGGTTGGGTGTCCACCTGTCTGTGACTGGAGCCTCCCACTTTGCCCATGCTGGTGCCCTCTCTGGTTGCAGGGATGAGACGCTATCCGGCAGCGAGCTGACTGCCAAGTTGGAGCCGGCCTTTCTCTCGGGACTGCGCTGTGCCCAGCCACTCATCAGGGCCAAGTTCTTCGAGGTGTTTGACAACTCCATGAAGCGCCGTGTCTACGAGCGTCTGCTCTACGTGACCTGCTCCCAGAACTGGGAGGCCATGGGGAACCACTTCTGGATCAAGCAGTGCATTGAGGTAGGAGGGCTGTGGCCGGACGAGGGTGTGTGCAGGCCGGGCACGCGAGGGCCGTGCTGGGAGGGCTGTGGCCGGACGAGGGTGTGTGCAGGCCGGACACGCGAGGGCCGTCCTGGGAGGGGTGAGGGATCCAAGCACAAAGCAGTGGGGTGAATGAGATGTAGAGCTGTGATTTGATAAAGCTCTGATTTAAAGCCCCTTAAATGAATGATCAGTGGAGAGGAAGACGCTCTTGGAGATGGAGTGACAGAAACTGCAACAGTGGACTTGAACTTGATGGAGAGTTTGAGGATGACGCAGAATAGGGTTTCAGTCTGCTGACCATAGGGGTCACCTTGACTGGTGGTCAGCTCCACAGCGCCTAACGATAAGCCCGTGGGGTCCTGCTGGCACAGGGCGTCCAGCTCACAGCTGACCAGGTTTGACCCCACAGCCGCTCCGAGGGGCAGAGATCCTGCAGTCCATGTCTGTGGAGACTGAAGCCTTGGAGCCCGGGGGGGTGGTCCCCCCTGTCCTGCAGAGGAGCCGTGAGTCCAAACGGCTCCGTGACATTTGGCTTAATTTTTCTCTTTTATCAGAAAGCTGAATATCATTCTTTAGTTACCAGCCAACAGTTCTATTTTTCATTAAGATTACAAAGTTTGGAAACATTTTATGGAATAGCACCTCCTGTCACTCTTTGGCATAAGACCTGGCCTCTGTGGGGGGTCTTCAGCCCCTGACCCATCCCTGCAGCCTGTCTGGTCCCCATCTCCCTCCTTCGGGGAGCCAGGTCTGCTCATCATTTTCCCAGCGTGCCACGCTGCTCTGCCTTGAGGCGCCTCCGGGCTGGTTCCCCACATCCCTCAGGGCGTTAAGACCGCCTTCCTTCTCCCCTTCATGCCAGTCCTGACCTGGCAGCCCCAGCACATGAGTGCGTCTGGGGTCCTGATGGTGAACCTCCAAGGGCACAGGAAGGTGGCAGAGGGCTGTGGGGGGAGCAGGTGGGTCCCGCCCGGTGTTGGAGGGCAGGGAGGAGGTCGACCTAGGCAGGAGGGGCTGCTCCCTCGAGTCCACGGCTGAAGCTGTTGGGAGTTGGAGGTGTAATGTGGAAGGTGAGAGAATGAGAAGTGAAGTGTGTTCTACACCGCCGGGTGACGCATCTGAGGGTGGGCGCTGACTCCAGGCCCCTGCGCCCAGGCCTCCTCCTGCTGACACTGGGGACGCCGGCCGGGCTGGGGGCTGGGCATTCGGCAGCAGGTGCCGCCGGGTGGGACGACAGGATGTTCAGACCCCGTGAGTCAGTGATTGCCACAGGCACGAGGCTGCACGCACGTCCTACCTGGCTGTCTCTCACCTGCTCTTCCAGCTTCTCCTGGCTGTGTGCGAGAAGGCTACTCCCATCGGCACCAGCTGCCAGGGGGCCATGCTTCCGTCCATCACCAACGTCATCAACCTGGCCGACAGCCACGACCGAGCGGCCTTCGCCATGGTCACTCACGTCAAGCAGGAGCCGCGGGAGCGAGAGAACAGCGAGTCCAAGGAGGAGGTGAGCGAGGTTGCTGGACGTGGAGTACGAGCTCCGGTTAACACCGACATGAGCTCTCAGCTCCGGTGGCCTGGGCTGCAGCATGTAGCACCGCTGGCCAAAGCTTACAACTCCCCTTGTTACCATCCCACGTGGCTCACTCAAAATCTGTGCATTAAATGCGATTTTACTGTTTTCTCTCCAAGTGATAAGTGGCCTGTGTTGGGTCAGAAATCACTACTCTGGGGTGATTTCCTGTGAAGGAGCCGGGAGCTCTGATGGTTGGTCACCTTGCACCTCTGAGACCTGAGCCCATCTCCACCTGTCCCCAGGTGGGGGTGGGGGGCGGGGCACTATGGCCCCTCCAAGTGCTGGTCAGCCACATGGAGATGGACTGGGCTGCGGCCTTCAGTCAGTCCTCATGAGGGGCTTGGTCTAGGGGTTTTGTGCTGATTATTTGGGCTGTTGGGTTTGGGAAGTTGACATTCTCAGCAGTTTTAGAAAACAGCGCTAACCCACCACCAAGCCCTTTCCTCTGGAAGGGGACTGCGGCTCCTTGCTCAGTGCAGGAAAGCCACTTTTTCTGTTAACAAATAAAGAAGCCCTGCCTTAGGGTTGCTCAGTCCCGCATCGTCTGACGATGTGCAGCGCAGTCTTCCTTCCAGAATCGTTTTTTAAGGGTGAAGGTTTCCAGCATAAATTGATTTTCCGTTCAGTGATTCATGCACATTTTAGGGGCAGGTTTACAGAGCAAAATTGGTTTTCCTTGCAGCTTCTGTAACTTTCCTGTGGGAAAGAAGTTGTAGACTCGGAAATGATTCTGCACGTATTCACATCCACAAGGGAACAGCCAGAAAGGTTCTGAGTGTTTTCACACGTTTAGGGGCTGAATCGATTCAGATTACAAACCATTCTTAATGGCAGAGTAGTTTGAAGATTCCGTTGTTGCGGGTAGAGTTTATTCTTAGCTCTCTGAGTGAAATGAGTGTAACGAAACATCAAGCCAGCCACCATCCTCACCACGGCCCTGGAGCAGCTAGACAATGAGACTGCACTTGGAGACCATTCGGAGCGGCCTGGGAATACCCGGTGTGGGATTTACACCAGTCTCAGGAATAGTGGGACTGTTACTAGGAAGCTCTGGTGGCAGGCTGTAGGGAATGTATGTGGATGTACAGGGCAGGTGGCGTTGTCAGGGCCAGGACGGGAGGGATATTGCGTGGTGGGGGTCCACCAGTGTCCATGACTGCATGACCCGCCTTCTCTGTGTCTAAACTGTGTTTACCCAGAGGTGATACCTCATCACAGTTCAAGGTGGGCAGTCCTCTCCCACATGATTTACAGCCTCTGAAACACACTGGGGGGTCAGTGATCAGTGAGTTCTGACTCAGACTATGAGAGAGAATGCTTTTATAACATCTCTTTTTAAAATTTGCATTTTGCTTTTTATAACCCTACTGTGAAAGCAAAATGGTAATATTTCAGACTATCATTTGAAGAGAAAGAAAGGCCTGTTCTAGGTCGCTTGATTTTTGTTTGTTTTAGAGTCCAAGCAAGGATATTTCAGCAGTCATGACCCTGAGAAACTTCCACCGAGTTCTCAGTCACTGAAACCTAACTAGGACTGACCGAGTTGTGTGTTTGCTGGACTGACTCTAACTTTTTTTGGTTTTGTTCTGTAGGATGTTGAGATCGATATTGAACTAGCTCCTGGGGATCAGACAAGCACACCCAAAACCAAAGAACTTTCTGAAAAAGACATTGGGAACCAGCTGCACATGTTAACCAACAGGCACGACAAGTTCCTCGACACGCTTCGGGAGGTGAAGGTCTGTATGCAGGTGGAGGGTGAGGTTTAGGGAGGTGAAGGTCTGTATGCAGGTGGAGGGTGAGGTTTAGGGAGGTGAAGGTCT